GGTTTTGGCCCCATTTTGGCCTTCTGAGGGGGCCGCGCTCATCTTCCTTCATAGCAAAATCATTGATTTTACGAAGGTGTTGGGCTCATTTTGTCCTTCTCAGGGGGCAGCGCTCCTTTGCGCTTCTGAGGAGCCCCAAGAGGCCCCCAGGAGGCTCCCCAGAGGCCTCCAAGAGGCCCCCAAGAGGCCCCCAAGAGGCCCCAAGAGGCCCCCAAGAGGCTCCCAAGAGGCCCCCAAGAGGCCCCTAGAGGCCCCAAGAGGCCCCCAAGAGGCCCCCAAGAGGCCCCCAAGAGGCCCCCAAGAGGCCCCAAGAGGCTCCCAGAGGCCCCCAAGAGGCCCCACGAGGAGCCCGAACGACTCACACCAGGACGAGGGGCCCGAACGACTCACACCACGAAGAGCCCGAACGACTCACACCACAAGGAGGGGCCCGAACGACTCACACCAGGACGAGGCGCCCGAACGACTCACACCACGAGGAGCCCGAACGACTCACACCACGACGCGGGCCCCGAACGACTCACACCACGAGGAGCCCGAACGAGTCACACCAGGAGGAGGGGCCCGAACGACTCACACCAGGATGAGGGGCCCGAACCACTCACACCACGAGAAGCCCGAACGACTCACACCAGGACGAAGAGCCCGAACGACTCACACCACGAAGAGCCCGAACGACTCACACCAGGAAGAAGGGCCCGAACGACTCACACCAGGACGAGAAACCCCAAACGACTCCAATCACGAGGAGCGCTTTCTCTCCCTCCTCCTCCGCCTCCTCCTTCTCCCGCTCCCCCCACAAGGAGGATGTACAAGGAGGCGGGAGGAAGGAGGAACAGGGGAGATATGCGGGGCCAAGCGGACACACGCCTGAAAAACACGACTGTCGACATGCTTCGCAAGAGTTGCTGCTGTGAGATGGGCTGGTGGGGATACGCGAAGCGTAAAGAATTCCTCCCTCGACTCCTCCATCTTCCCCTTCTCCCTCCTACTCTTGATTCTGTCTTCCTCCTCCTCTGCTTCGCCCGTCCGTGGTCCCTCTAGACGCCCGCGAGCTGCACACCCACAAAACACGAACAAAACAAACATCGACTCCAACATGTTTGTGTAAGTGTGACTTATCAATGCTGCAACCGCCGCAGTGGAAGTGAAACCATTACAGAGTAAGTGTGACGAAGTGCAAACACATTGCGTCGCGGGGGTGTTCAAGTCCCCTTCTATCAGTATCAATGGCACGTGGACAGCAGGTTGCCCGAAAAGCAGAGGCATTGAACGGACTCTAACTCGGTCCTCTTCGACTTACCATCCCACTGGCAACCCTCCACTCCGACGTGCCAACGATGATACAGGCATGCCCCTAGACACCTTAACAAGGGCTCCCAACTTCGCGCTTCGCGCTGCGCGAAGCGCGAAGTGCGAATAACTTCGCGCTCTCGCGCCGCCTCCCAGGGTAGAAGGGGAGGATGAGGAGGAATCGGAGCCGAACCGCGAAGCGCGAAGGGCGAATAACTTCGCGCACTCGAGGGCGCCCTTGCTTAAGCACAATGATTTCCTCCCCGTGCTCCCTCATTCGGCGGTCCCGGTCCACCGCCCGTGCGAGATCGATGGCTGGAAAGCGAACACAATCCCACTGCGCGGCCGAGAAATTCAAGCGAGGAGCGAAGCACAACCACGAACAGGACGAGGAGGGGTCGAGAAAGAAGATGGAAAGAGCAAGGAGAGGCACAGAGAACGGTAATCGAATAGCACATAGCACGAGAAACGTGATCGCCCCAACTACTACGCGACTCAACTACGTGCACATTCGTCGGGTGCAATAAATTCGACTGGCGCGTTGGTTCCTGACACTGCGTGAATCGTTCAGACTTGCACTGTCGCGGCACTCCGACGGCAGATTTATACGAGATCGGCAGATTTCGTGCCACTGGAAGCGACCAGTGTTGAACGCCCGCGTGGGGGTTGTCGTTGTGTCATCGCGGCGCGAGCATACCGTACGCAAGACAATGCACCCAGCGCGCCTACAGCAGCCTCAACAGCTCTGCGCGAATTCCCTGATGCAATCCGCCATCAACTTCGTCCCCTCTACCTCGTGGAGCAGGGGCACCGCTTGCCGCTGCTGCCCGCCGCTCTCGCAAGCCCTGATTCCAGCGCCGTGGCAAAAGACATCTGGCTCCAGGGTTGCCCTCTGCATTTCACAGAACAACATCAGCGCCTGCTGCCACAGTCCCCTGCTGCCGCATGCGCTGATGCTGATTGCGTATGTTGTGGCGTCGGGTTCCAGTTTCATGTCCCGCATCTCGCTTAACAGCGACAGCGCCTGCTGCCACAAACCAGCTTTCGCGCACACATCAATTCCGTTGCCGCAGCTGATTGTGGTATGCTCCAGCCTCGCTTGCCCAATCTCGTTGAACAGCAACACTGCCTGTTCAACTTGCTTGCCTTGTTTACATGCGGTGATTGAACTAGTATAGGTCATGGTCCTCGGCTCCAGCTGCACCTCCTGAAGCATTTTGAACAAAGACAATGCCAGCTTCCAGTTCGCTTCGCACGCGACGATCCCATGATTGTAGCTGGTTGCGCTAAGCTCCAACTGATGATCCGTCCCTTCGGTGAGCAGCGCCACTGCGTGTTGCCAAGACCTACCTGCCGCACACGCACTGATTGCAGCGCTTTGGGTGGTGCTAGTTGGCTTCACGCTCTCGCCCCGAAGATGTCTGAGCAACGCCAGCGCGTGCGACCACTGCCTACCTTTGGCGCAGGCATACATCCCAGTGGTGAAGAGAGCGTCGTCCGCCTCCAAGAAGGTCGCCGTCGCCTCTTCCAGCAACAGCAATGCCCGCTGCCACTGCCAGCTGCCCCCGCACGCATTGGCAGCAGCATCGTAGCTGATGATGGTGAGCTCGAGGCCGGCGCTCGAAGACTCCGTGAGCAACGACAGCGCGCGTTGCCATTGACCACACGCCCCGCACGCGCTGATTGCAGCGTTGGTGGTGGTGGTGGTTGGCTCTACGCTCTCGCCCCGAAGATCTCTGAGCAACGCCAGCGCGTGCGACCACTGCCCTCCTTTGCCGCAGGCGTATATTCCAGTGGCGAAGAGAGCACCGTCTGCCTCAAGGTCGATCGCCATCGCCTCTTCCAGCAACAGCAATGCCCGTTGCCACTGCCAGCTACCCCCGCACGCATTGGCAGCAGCATCGTAGCTGATGATGGTGAGCTCCAGGCCAGCGCTCGAAGACTCCGTGAGCAACGACAGCGCGCGTTGCCACTGATCGTACACCCCGCACGCGCTGACCCCAGCGTTATAGGTGATGATGTTTGGGGTCACCTGCTGTTCGATCATCTCTGTGAGCAACGACAGCGCGTGGTACCATTGACCGCACACCCCGCACGCGCTGACTCCAGCATTATAAGTGATGATTTCTGGCGTCACCAGCTTGTCCACCATCTCCGTGAGCAGTGCCAAAGCTTTCTGCCACTGGTGGCCTTTCTCCATCGCACTGATTGCGGCACTGTAGCTGACCACATCTAGCTCCAACTGTACCTGGTGTATCTCGGTGAATGCCATCAGCGCCTGCTGCCACTGCCCTGCCTTCTCACACGCACTGATTACTGCATTGTAGCTGACTAGGTCTGACCCGTGGACTACCGCCCACGAAAGATGAATCGGATGCAAGATAAGGATAGCTTGCCTGATTATCTGATCGCCTGATGTCCTGCTTGCGTGGTTGCTTGTCTGGTGACCTGATAGCGTTTAGTATGCTGCATGCCTGTTTCTGCGTGCTGCTGCTGCTGCTGCTGCTGCTTGTTGTTGTTGTTGCTGGTGTTGCTTGTGGCTGCCTGGTGCTGCTTGCCAGTTACGCATGCTGCGCGCCGCTGCACGGTACGCCTGCCTGCTGCATGATGCTGCTACTTGCTGCCCCCAGGCGCCGCGACTGGTTGCCTCCCGCTGCCGCTCGCTGCTGGTGCTTTTGCCGCTGCAGGGCGCCCCTTGTCGCTGCTGCCTGCCTGTCGCCCAGACCCGCTGCTCGTGATGGGAGCGAGGTGCAGGGTTTCCCCCGGGGCCGTAGGCGACCCGAGGAGGGGGAGGAGGAGGAGGAGGAGGTGGAGGAGGGGGAGGGGGAGGAGGAGATGGAGGTGGAGGAGGAGGAGGGAGAGAGAAGAGGAGGAGGAGGAGGAGGCGGAGGCGGAGGAGGAGGAGGAGGACGGGTCGCCTAAGCCCTTCGGGGAAAAACCCTCCAGAGCGAGGACGAGCTTGAGCGAGGAGGGCACGACGGGGAGCCGCGAGCGAGGAGGCGAGAAGCGACGGCGGCGCACGGAGCGCCGGGCAGGAGCGAGGGGGGGAGGGAGGCGCCGGTGGTCGAGGGGGCGGGGGGGAGGGCTTCGGAGAGAGAGAGGCGAGGAGGAGGAGGAGGAGGAGGAGGAGGAGGAGGAGGAGGAGGAGGAGGAGAGGTAAGGCTGGCGGGCTCCCTTCGTTCCTCAGGCTCGGCTCGCCGAAAAAGCCCACTCATGATGCGCAACAATCCCTGCCATATATGTTTGTACTGTTTGCTTTTTGTTGCTTTTCTTGCTCGTGAATTGCTTGCTTTTCTTGCTCGCGGAAGGCCTGATGAACGAGGGGAACCAGCCAGTGGTAAGGGAGGGGCACGGCGCGAGAAGAGGGGGGCGAGGAGCGAGGAGCTGCGGGCGAGGAGCCGGGAGCGTGCAGCCAGGAGGGAGGTTCGAGAAGCGGCCCGCACACGCATCGCCAAACGGCCTCGAGAGACGCGACACGAAAGAGCGGTCTCCTCTCTTGGGTCGCTCATGGGGCCAGCATGGGGCCGTCCTGAGGCCTTCTTGGGGCCTTCGTTGAGGCGTCTGGGGCTGCATCGGGGCCGCCCCTGGGGCCTCTGGGTGCCGTTGGGGGGGGTCGAAAGGAGCGGTCTGGGATGGAGAATTCAGCAATTTCCCATAAGCGTGTCGGAGACACCTTCGTTGTGCTCGCCAGTCTACAGCCTCAGGCATCAGTTCCCGCTTTGCTGAGTGGTCCTGACAGGGCGAGGAGGAGGGGAGCAGGGGCAGGATATCAGAAGTGCGCCCAGGAACGCGAGCATAAGCTGACAGCTGGCTGCACCTTCACCTCTTCCATTGCGCCGAGCAAGCACAGGGCGTGCTGCCACTCCTGACACTTTTCGCAGGCACTGATTGCAGCACTGTAGCTCACGACAGTCGGATCGAGCTCGGCATCGCACAGCTCACTCAACAACGACAAGGCAAGCTCCCACTGTCCGCCCTTCTCGCACGCGCTGATCATAGCATTGTGAGCAATGACTCCAGGTTGCAATCTCGCCCGCCCGATCTCGCAGAACAACGTCCATGCACGCTCCCACTCTCCGGATTTTCGGGCGACGTCAACTACCCACCTCACCGATCATGAGCGGGCTCACTCTTGATTGGCCTGGTTTTCACCACCACCACTACCACCATAAGTTGGATGGTGGAAGGAGGAGGAGGACGAGGAGGAGGAGGAGGAAAAGGAGGAGGTGGAGGAGGAGTAGAAGGAGGAGCAGGACACCCTCCCCATTCAACTTATGGTGGTTTTGGTAGAAAACAGGCCCATCAACTCTGGGCCCAGGATTGGTGCAGACGCCCTCGCGACTTCTCCAGATAGGCATGTGCACAGGGTGGCCTGTCCAGAATGGGTGAGGTGGACAGTGGATATCCCCCGAGATTTCTCACATGCGCTGATCCCGGCACTCCACAAAATTATGTTCGGTGTCAGCCCATGTTCCATGAGCTCGCCCATCAGCACGAGCGCTCTCTGCCACTGCCCGCCCTTCTCGCACGCGCTGACTGCAGCACTGTACATGACAATGTCTGGCTCAACCTCTGCCGCCACCAGCCCTCTGAACAGGGACAACGCTCTCTCCCACTGCCCGTCTTTCTCGCACGCGGTTATTCCGGCGCTGCAGCTGACGATGTTCACCCCCAGCCGCCTGTCCGACATCTCGCTGAGCAGCGCCAGCGCCTGCTGCCATTGGCCACCTTTCGCACACGAGCTGATCGCGGCGCTGTAGATGATGGCATCAAGTTCCAGCTTACCCTCCCACGCCTCACTGAGCAGCGTCAACGCATGCAACCACTGGCATGCCTGGTCGCATGCGCTAATTGAGGCACCGCAAGTGATGACGTTTACCTCCAGCCTCCGCTCCTCCATCTCGCGGAGTAACGACAATGCCTGCAGCCACTGCCCACCCTGCCCACAAGAGCTGATGGCAGCGGTATAGCCGAAAAAGGGGGCCCAGGGCTCTCTCCACTACGCAGCTCGTCCCTCCTATCCCCCTCTCCCCGTCTCCATCCATACGGGGTGAGGAAACAGACGGGGGGGAAACTATGTGAGCAGTCGTATAGTGAATCGACGCCTGGTCCCACAATACTGTTCGGCTCCCACTTCGCCTCCAACACCTCGACGAACAACGACATTGCCTTCTGCCACTGCTCGCCTCTTGTACAGCAGCCGATTGCAGCAACGTAGCTGGGGGCATTCAACTCCAACTTCCTCCCCGACATATCGCTGAGCAACGCTAGCGCTTTCTGCCACTGCCTGGCTTTCCTACACGCTCCGATGGCAACCGTATACAAGGACGGACTGACTTGCGAACGCGAATTCAACGAGTCGCGGAATAAGCTCAGAGCTTCCTCCCACTGTCCTGTGTTCCCGAGGTCCTTCAGAACGGGCGTGAGGGAAGCAACCCACCCGACCTTACCACACATCCGCGCCACGTGTCAGACATTCCAGCAAATTCTGATTGCGCCGTTTCTGCAGATGGCGGCCACAGTCAGACATCGAACTGGACAAATATCTCGAGCGGATGGACACGGGTTGTAAGAACAGCAGAGATATGTTCTGGCACGCTAGCTCTTCCTGCGAACGAGGCCCTGGCTGTACTGGAACCAGCTAGCAATCTCAGTTGCATGCCCACTTGGCAACCCTCGCGATGAACCAAACAGCTGCAAATGCGCGCGAGATTCAAAATGAAGAACGCGAATCCAAAGGAGGATGCGCGACCGCGATTGCAGCAGTTCCTGTGTGTACGTGTGGCGGGCCTTTCCTTTTTCGTTACATAGTTCACCTCATGTGAAGCAATAATGGAGGCCCCTCGACGCATCGAACGCATGCGCACCCGCTTTGGGATGCAACTCCCTGCGTTCTTGGCCCTCCAAATTTCCAAATTAAGAACGGGCCCTAATACTTAGTAAACGGACGCGCGGTTCCGCGGCACGTCACCCCTGCCCGCTACCACTTGGGACTACTCGCCTTGTGCACTCTTACGCCTTCGGATGAGCCCGTGGCCCAAGTTTCTTCGTTGACTCTGCTCCATCCTCTTTCTCCGATCATGGATGCCACTTCAACTCTCATGGCCTGAAGGGTGAGGCAGACTGCTTGTCGCTCGACACTCCGGCGCGCGCGCACGCGCACCCACAACAGCGGCCGGTCGCCTGCACAGAAGTGAGCTTGCACAGGAGGTCGACCTCCCACAGGTCCAAAAGAAAGAGATCAAACACCCTAGCCGGCGCGCGTCGCCAACAAGACCGCGCACGTACCTTCGAGCGTAGCTACGCAGAACCCTTTTCTGCACGAGTGCGCAGTCGCCCTGGATGTGGAACGCACGCGGACACGCGACGGCACGACCACATCAATCCGGGGCACACTCGCACACCACAATCGCGCCACGAAACCAAGATACGAATAGCAATTCGCCCAGTCGAATGACAAGTGAATGAATTTGCGCAAGTTTGGAGACCATGCAGAACATGAGACATCTGCAACGACAGGGCAGGCACAACAGCCCGTTGTCATTCCACCGCGCGGTTAGCCAATTGCCCTCAGGAAGTTTCCCACCAAACTCGTATGCGGTCCGCCTCTTTCTGCACGCGAGACACTGAACTGATCGTGGCAATAAACTTCCCGGAGAAGAAATGCGATTGGTTGCAGCGTGCTCTTCCGACGCCGACACTCATCGATCCAGAAACTGCTTCACTGCCTTCACGACGCGATTCTGCAATCAAGAGGATTCTGGGAAACGCCCCGTGCCGTGAGCCGGTGCGCACTCCCAATATTCACTGGCATGGTCCATGCAAGAGGCGTGCTCGCTACTCCTCCCCCTGGGCCCTGAGGGGAGCCGACAAGGGAGGACTGGCTCAGCTGGGAGGCCAATGTACCAGAACCAACGATACATCGACGACGAAGGATCGGCGATAAGCCCCCGATGGGGAAACCAACGCTCCGCGGGGGGCTCCTGTCGGCGAAGAGTGGGCGAATTGGGGGAATCGGTGCCCCCGCCCCACCCCCCGGTGAGCCAGTCCCCCCTGTTGGCGCCCCCGATCCCCGTCGCGCTCCTCCTTCCCCGCCCCTCCCAAATACCCGGCGTCGTGTCTTTCCCAAAGCAGGGCTTGCACTTAGGGCTTCTCGCTTCTAATCTATGGTACTGGGCCTGTCTGTCGGTCTGGCGTTTTTGTAGCCACCGTCGCCGTCCCGTCACCGCCCGTCGTCTGGGCCTGTCTCTCGGACTGGCGGCAATGTAGCCGCCGTCGCCGCCCCGTCGCCTCCTCGTCGCCGCCAATCGTTTGGGCCTGTCCTGCCGCTTTGGCGGCTATGTGGTCGTCGTCGTCGTCGCCCCGCCGCCGCATAAATCGCGCACCGCATAGATTCTCTGGTCTATATATATATATATATATATATATATATATATATATATTAGGATAGACATCCCTTCCCGGACTAACTGTACGCTTGCCTTCGTATTGCAATTTGCATACGGGCGCCTTCCCATGCAGTCCCTTTTTATCGGTCTCCCCTCATCCCTCACAACAAACACTATGCGCCCGCACTTTGTAACAGATGGGACAACTTGCACACGACACGCGCACGCCATCGCGCGCGCATGCCAAACTCGTTCAAAGACCTTAGGTCCCGCAGAAATTGTATCACCGAAAGCCCGGAACAGATAAAACGCAATGGTTTCGCAAAAGGGATTAAAACAGACGGCGCTCCCGCCGCTGCGAAACAACAGACTTTCAACATTCTCATCAACTGCGTCCAAATCTGCCTCTCGCGCGCATATCGGCTTCATTCGGACGCTCTTGCGCGCGTGCTGTCGCAAAAAGCTAGTTTGCAACAGGAGGGACAAAGTGCGCACGCGCGCGTCGTCGCGCGCGCATGTCGGAATCCTTGAACAAACGCGAATCCGTTGGGAAATCACATGTTTTCATAATTTTCACCAAATACAGGTCCTCTCGCGCCGCATGTCGAAATCATTCGAACGCCGTTGCGCGCGTGCTCGGGGGGGGGGGCCGATCCTGTCAAATAATCCCATGCGGGTCACTCGCGCACGTTGGCCGCGCGCGCATTTCAAATTCCTTCCAAAACCTTAACCACAGACGCGGGGACACAGTCATCATCATCGGCGTGATCAAAATCGGCGCCGTCATTGGCCTTACAGTCGCCTTCGTCACAATCGTCACCATCATCGTTACTAGCATCATCATGTCTACCGTTGTCGACGTCGCCATGATACCGCGCCCGCCACAATCTCCGAACCGCACTGAGGTGCCCGCTGGGAAGTGCCCAGCGGTCAGAGCCACCGCGGCCGCGTCGGTCCTGACACACTAACTGGCCGATGTGCGCGCGAGCATGCGCGGGCTAGCGCGGCCGCAGAGATGCACCAGCCAACACCAAACACTCATCGCAATCGCCGTCAAATGGATTTTACAAGCCACGTTTCGGGTGGGTTGGTGCGTGGGATGGTTGCGCGTTGCACACTAGATGTGGCACCACACATATTGCACAACATGGACTGCACAACACAAATTGCACAATTCGTATTGTACAACACAAAATGCACCATATATGGTCGAGGGTTTGGGCCCCCCCTCCCCAATGGTAATGCCATCGGGCCCACCCCCCTCCCCCGCGCGATGGTCCCCCCACCCCCCCCTGTGGGCGTGGGCGTGGCGTGGCGTGGTGCCCCCCCCCGGTGAGAGGGAGGGCCAAAAACGAGGAGGGAAGGATGGTGTCTTCACCGTCGTCGCCTGCTTCCGGGTGTGGCGTTGTGTTTCGGTGCTTCAGGGGGCAGGAGCGGACGGTGTCTTCGTCGTCGTCGTCGCCGCCGTCGTCGTCGTCCTCGTCCTCCTCCTCCGCGTCCTCCTCCTCCTCGTCCTCCTCCCCCTCCCATCCTATCTGGGGGGGGGGGCACGAGGACCCTGCGACCCATCCCATCTGGGGGGGGGGGCCGTGGGCCCCGAGCCCGCGATCATATAGATTGCGCGGCGTAAATTGCACAACACAAATTGCACCCCACCAAACCTTACACTGCCGGGGACCCCAAAATCGGGAACCAGAACCCAGAAATCCAGCTGCCTACCGATCTGGTAGCCCGGGATCCCAACCAACCTTACATTGCTGGGAACCCCGCAACCGGAAACCCAACCGACCTTCGGCTGCCAAGAACCCCTGAACCAGGAACTGGGAACCCATGAATCGGCCCAGAACCCGGAACCGGGAACCATGGAACCCGGAACCGGGAACCCAGGAACCCGGCCGCCCACTGATCGGCCCGGGACTCTCACCAAATCCTTCAGTATCTACGAGGACACTTTCAGTGCAAGTGCTGATTGGGAACAAATATCTGCACCGCCACTCCCACGGCGTCCTCCAGGGTGCGTCCTGACCAGAACCTCGAGGCGAACGCAGCCGCGGCGACGAGGGCCTCCCCGGAGGGCCAGCGTTACGAGAGCGAGGCCGGGGTAGCGTTACCTTGCCTCTCCTGCGCCCCGCCATTGGCTCGGTGGCGCGAGCGCGCAGTAATGATAACGCCCCCCCGGGGCGTGTGTTGTGGAGCCCAACCCGATGTCGTGGTAAGACTCGCGCGCTTCACCCACAAGGACGACGTAATTCGGGCCCGCGAGACGAGGGACGAGGGATGGGGAGATCGACGGCCCGAGGCTGCAGGACGCTCCTAGCTCCCAGCTCGTCGCGAGCGAGCTGCAGGGAGGCGCGCTTGCACCCCCTGGCAGCCCCCCCCCGCGGTGGCCATCGGCTTCTGCGCGGCCTCCCCGCGGTCGAGGGCCGCCCGGATCGCCAGCGCGCCCAGCTCGTCGGCCTTCCCCTCCTTCGCCACCTCCTCCTCCTCATCCTCCTCCTCCTCCTCCTCCTTCTCCTCCTCCTCCTCCTCCTCCTCCTCCTCCTCCTCCTTCTCCTCTATCTCACTCCCATACTGATAGCAAAAACCCTCCCTGTCGCACCACCAAATGTGTCGATAGGGTGGGCCGGGCGTCTCGGCTTCTCGGCTGAGACTTCCTCGCCATCTGTGATCCTGGAGCTGAAGAGTTTGCAACAGCTTCAGACATGGAGGAAGAGTCGTCTTCAAAATGTGGCTTTCGCATCAGCTTCGGGCACGTCCTTTTTCAAAGGTTGCAGCAACTTTCAGGATGGAGGGAGGCAATTTTCAAATTTTTGCTTTCGCCTCAGCGCCGCGCACCTCCGTTCTCACATGTTGCCATAGCTCCAGGGGTGGAGGGCACTTCCTTTGCACAATGGGGCTCTGGCACTGGCGCCGCGCACATTCGTTTGAACACCAGCTGTTTTCAACATGGAGCTCTCGCCTCAACGCCACGCGCGTTGACCTATTGGTGCAACGTGTATTCAGATGGAACGCTGCTCTTGCTCGAAATGGTGCTCTCGCTGGAGACTTCGCTGACTCGTATACAAGCCCCGAAGTTTCAGCATGTGCAGCGAGGAACGGATCCGGGGCGGCTCCTTGCAGAATGAAGCTGCCGCTCGAGACTTCCTGCAAGTTCATGATTATATGTGGGATTAAACTTGCGCGACAGAAGCATTCATGGTTCGGGGCAGTCCCTTTTCCAAGGTGGGATCTCGCAGGACACCTCGCTGGACTGTATGATCATAGATTTTCCTTTTCTGGTTACTCGCCAGAAAGAAGCAAGGCAATTCATGTTCAAAGCGGTGCTCTCGCGGAACTGGCAGGCCCAACGTTGCTGGTATTTGAGGGGGTGGCGCTTCTCATCGTGAAGAGGGAACCTTCTAGGGAGGATTATTGCGGCATCGCTGGTGCATCTTTGGCTTCCTCTTGTCCTCCTCCACTTCTTCCTTCTCCTCCACCTCCTCTTAGAAGACGAAGGCATGATGAGGATCAATTCGGACGGGGATAGGTCGGGAATATCTGAGAGCGGGCGGATGTGAAGAAGACGAGGGACCTCCGGAAGTCTGATCTCCTGCGCACCCGAGCCGCAGAGTTGGACCAGGTCCCCGCCTTTCAAGGGTAACGACAGGAACGGACTGGCATCAGGGGATACGCATCGACCTGGAATCAGCGATGCATCGCCGATAGATCGACGATAGGCACCCGATCGTGAATCCGCCCCTTGCTGTGCAGCCTGGGGCTATCTGGCCCCAATCGGCGATCAATGGGAGATTGGGGGTCGATGCGTCGCCCCCTCCCCCCCCGATGCCTACCCCCAGGTCGGGCATGTCCCCCCATACAGGCGGATTTTGGACGAGCAATGAAAAGGCTCCAAACACGCCCCCCCCCCCAAATAATAACAAATAATAGAGAAATCGTCCCCTGGCTATCTTTTTAAACACTATGTGTACGTATCCCCCCTATAGAGGGACAGGCCCGACTGAAGCCTACCCCCCCATCGTTGCCCCTGGGCCTTTGCCCGCGCCTCTGCTCTGGGCAGTCGGCCGCCGGGGATCTCGCGGGCGCCTCGGGCCGGGGACCGCCCCCCTCTCGAGGACGAGAAGGGCTCCAACGCTCGCTCCTCCCCAGACCCCCTCGAATCGCGAAAAAATCATGACGTGTTTTAGTTTTTGCTCGTTTTTTGCAAGGTTAGCCTCCTGGGGACCCTGCCTGTGCCCTGGGACGGCTAACAGACCGACTCAGGAGGAACAGCCGGTCCCAAGGAGATCGAAACCTCGGAGGCTTCACGTTGCGACGAAAATCGAGACTGCGGGGGTCTGGAAGGGAGAGGGTACCGAGTCAGCGCAAGTAGCCAATTTTCCTGGCGCCTCTCGGCCTGTAGCGAGGGAAGGCGCCCAGAGGCGGGGCCAACACGAGCTGCATGCAACAGATTCCATACTCCTTCCATTCCCTGTCCCCTCCTCCTCCCCCTCCTCCTCCTCCGCGTCCTCCTTTGCGTCCTCCTCGTCCTCCTCGTCCTCCTCCTCCTCCTCCTCCTCCTCCTTCTCGTCCTTCTCCTCCTCCTCCTCCTCCTCGTCCTCGTCCTTCGCCTCCCCCTCCTCCTCGTCCGCCTCCTCCTCCTCCTCCTCGTCCTCGTCCTCCCACTCCTCCCTCTCTCGTCCGATCCGAGGAGAGGCGGGCGAGGAGGAAAAATCGCCGTGGAGAGCGGGTCCTGAAGGTTCAGTCGAAACGCACAACGAGGAGGCGCGGTAAGGATGCGCAAGGGCCTTGGAGGGCCATGTCGACACTGTTCGAGCGTGGCCGGCCGGCGAAAGTGGCCAGCGATGGGTCGACAGGGCAAGAATGCAAAGATAACCATGGAACGGCCCTCATCCTTGCTATGCGCTTTGACTGCAATGTGTCCTGCAAGTTCTTGGCAATGTTCGGCCCCTGGGATTCGTTACTCGCAGGCGATGTTTCTATCCCAGCCCCGAACTTTTCGACGAAAAATGAAGCGGCTAAGAAGCTAAGAAAAAGAGGGAAACCCTAGGACACACCCCCAGGAGGCCATTCGGACGCACACCAGTCGAGGATGGAACCCTCAACCGCGTATATCCCAAGGCTGGGCCCCAAATTTCTGGCCCATTCGAAAGCCTCACGAAGTCCGGGATAGGGGTCGACATATCCCCTGCTAGCTCCCGAGAGATGGACCGTCAAAAACGGGATCGGGAAGGCGAGCTGGTCCCTGGGGAAGGCCACGGGGTCAGGACACGAAGACGACGACAAAGATGACGACGACGTCGACGACGACGAATTCGACGACGACGAATTCGACGACGACGATGACGACGACGACGACGGTTGACGACGACGACGACGACAACGACAACGACGACGACGACGACGACGACGACGACGACGACGACGGTGGCGACATCCCAACCCTACCCCCTCCATCCGACGACGTTGACGACGACGTTGTCGACGACGACGACATTGACGACGACGACGATGACGACGGTGGCGACATCCCAACCCTACCCCGTCCAACCGACGACGTTGACGACGACGACGACTTCGACGACGACGAAGACGACGACGACGACGACGACGACGACGACGGTGGCGACATCCTAACCCTACCCCCTCCAACCGTCGACGATGACGACGACGACATTGACAACGACGACGAAGACGACGACGACGGCGGTGGCGATATCCCAAACCGACCCCCTCCAACCGACGACGTTGACGACGACGACGACGTTGACGACGACTACTAGGACTGAACGACGACGACGACGACTACGACGACGACGACGACGACAACGACGACGATGATGACAACGACCCTGGCGACATCCGAACCCTATCCCACCAACCATCGATTCTCCTGAATCGATAGGAGGCGGAGGTGTGGTTGGGATTTCGCCACGCGTTCGACGAATTCCGAAGCCCACCCCCACCGCCCATCGAGTTGCGGCGAAGACAAGGCTCGGATTTCGCCCCCAATGTTAGCTCATGCGACATGTGAGGAGACACACGCGGGAACGAGGGGGGCGGGGGGGCAAGGGGCGTGCGGAAACAGCAAGCGGGGGCAGTGAGATCTGGGGCGGCATGGCCCCAACCATGATATCAAATGATATCTGAACGCAGACACACACACACCTCCTCATCCTCCTTCTCCGTCCTCCTCCTCCTCCTCCTTCTCCTTCCTCCACCTCCTTCCTCCTCCTCCTCCTCCTCCTCCTCCTAGGCCTCGCCTCGTCTTCGACACCCCCCGGACCAATGCCGCGTTTGGGTCGGCGAGTGGTCCTGCCAAGGGCGCAGAAGGCGAGCCGTCAGAACATCGACTCGGGCCTGGCCGAAGTGCCCCCCCCGAGAGGCGAGGCACAGCTGCGCGTCAACTCGCATCGCTTCTCACAGGGTCCGTGCAGAGTCCATGCCTGCCTATCCCGATGGTGCTCCCCATCCCGCCTCAGAAGGGCAGTCCTTCAGCAGCGCTTGGACCTGCCCACACACTTCCTGACTTCCCCAGAGAGAAGCAGGTGCGACGGCGGCTGGGAAAAGGCAAGACGGGGCACGGGGACGAGGAGGCCAAGAGCAGCGGGCAGGTGGCGTCGAGGGAGCTGAACAGACGAGGGGAAACAGGATGGATACGATTATGTTGCTCCCATCCTACTTAAGGACCGCATCCCAGAAACAATTTCGAGCACCCAGAGAAGTGTCGAAAGAGTGTCGAAAGAGTGTCGAAACAGTGTCGAAAGAGTGTCGAAAGAGTGTCTCCAGAGGCCCCACGCGTGAAAGCCCTAGATGCTTGGGGCGTTTTCCTGGTGCTCGAAATTCACTCTGGTGCTCGAGGCTGAAGTAGCTTGGAACATCATAAGGGCACGAGGCGGACGAGGGAGACCAAGGAGGGGACGGCAGCGAGGCAGAGAACCGCAACGACCGAAAGGGAGCGAGCGAGCCCGCGGGGGGGGAGAGGCGCGCCGGCGGGCCGCCGAGGTGCGCCCACACCCTGCGACATGCTCAAGAAATCATGGGTTAAGAAATTCATAGCCTCAGAAATGGAATAAAACCCAGAACTCCTATCGAAATCTTGGGATTTACATTGAAAAAAATGAAGAATCATCGAGACGCTGGACGAAAACTGAGGTTTTCTTAGGCATCGCCTAAGGTGTATGGGCCTTGGCGGGGGGAGCCGCCCAGGCAAAGACCCCTCGGGCTGCACTGCACCGGGGGCCAGGGAGCGGCCCTGGATTAAATCCTCCGGGCGTAATCTTTAGTCGGGCCTGTCCTCCTATATACAAGGGGATGTTGGACGACCACTTCAAAAATACCCCAAACCTACCCCCAAATGGCCAGAACATGCAGAAAAAGATCGCCCCCTGACTATTTTTTCGGACTAGCTTTGAACATTCCTCCAGTAGAGGGGCAAGCCCGACTTCCGCGTCACTCGTGCTCTTGCCTTCGAGCCACCGAAGGGCCACGAGCGACCGGCGGCCGGCCCGCGCGGCAGCCCCGCCTCGGAGGCGGGCGGGGGCAGCTCGATTGGGGGGCGTGCCAGACGAGGCGAGGACCGGTCGGCGGGGGGAGGGGGAGGGGGAGGGGAGGGGAGGTGACGATCGGGTGTTGCCAGAAGCGCCCCTGGCCCAGGGTGCCTCCAGCTTTTCGCTCCATTTCGGAGCCCCTGGGCTCCTTGGGGCCTCGTGATAGGGGTGCCCTGGAGGCCGCCCGGGCCACCCCGAGAATCCTGGGGGTGCCGTGGGCCGGGGGCACTTCTGGCAACACCCGAGACGACAGGGCAGGGGGAGCAGGATGATGTCTCGGGCGGGGGGTCGGAGGGCGAGGGGGGGGAGGACGGGGAGCGGGAGAGGGGGAGAAGCAAGAGGACGCAACGAGGAGGAGGAGATGTTTCTGACGAGGAGGAGAAGGGGTGGACGATGACAACGGGCGGGACAAAAAGAGGGAGGGAGGGGCGACGATAATGGGGATGACTGCGCCCTACCACTCATTGGTCGGATACTCCGTCGGAATGAAGAAGTAAGACTTGAAATGGACACTCGTGTTCCTTATTTTCCTCTCTTCCTCCCGGTTTCTCCCATCCGCCCTCGTCCTGCCTCCTGCCCCCTCCTGCCTCCTACCTCCTCCTGCCTCCTATCGCGCCTGCGACACTCGCCACTTTCGTGGGCGCCTGAAGAATCAGGCGACCATGCCCAAACGAGGTCTCGCCTGTCGCCCTCCCCTGGGCGCCGCCAGCTGCTCAACTATCGCCTTTTCGGTGGGTTCCTGTGAGGTTCACCGGGATGACATCTTACCGTCTTGCGCGAAGTCAAACGAGATCTGGCCCTCCATCGTTGCTGCCACATTCGCAAGTGTCGCAGCGGTATTTCCCGTGCGGGCGCCCACCAAAAAGATGCCGGCCCCAGACTCATGCGACACCTCTCCGTCCTTGGCTGTGACCACTGCGCACTTGTCACCGCCTTCGTGAGCTTTTTTGAAGCCCGCTAAGGCGACACATAATCCAAACGAGACCTGGCCAAACCCTGGGCGATGCCACCTCCGCAACGGTTGCCATTTTCGTAGGCCGGAGCCTGTGGACACTCTGGCGGAGGGGCGCGCTACCCCAACAAAAACGAAACTTTGCGTTCCGTGGGAGGTGGTTGCTGCGCAGACGCGCCTCTTCTATGAGCCCCCGGAAGGCCCACTGGGGCGACATCCCAAGCAAATCCAGACGCGACCCCGCCCCCCTCAGCGCCACCAGCTGCGCAACTGTCAATTTTCATTGGCCCTAGGAGATCCAGCGGGATAACGTGTTAATTTGGCCCGGCGCAGGTGCTGCCAACTGCTTAACGATCGCCCTCGTGAGACGAATTTGAAAAATTTACGTCGGCACCACAAGCTGACAGCCGACGTCGACTATTAGGGCGTTTCCGACATGGAGGGCCCCAGTGTCAACCTGCACGTCATTCTCTTCCAAGCCATGGCGTCGGACCTCCTGCCTGTGATCTGCGACCGGGGGCTGGAGATTCTCTCGAAGGCCGCCCGCCGACTCGGCAGCGCGTCTGCGCCCACGCGGTGCCCGCGCGGACAAATGCATGGGCTAGATTCTTGCACGGCTGAACGAGGGAGCGACCAGCGCGCCTGCCAGCGCACTCTTGTGCCTATCCGCGCGTCTCACGCACTCGCAGGCGTGCGCGCGCGGGGGGCTGTGACTTTGACGTGCCCGCTTTGGGCGGCGCAAAAAAAATTCGGCCACAGTGTCGGCCGCAATCCTCAAGCCAGAATCATTGCTGCGTGGGTGCTGTGGGACACCCACATTCGCCGTCACCGATCGCATGCAAGTCCATCTCGCCCTCCACGCCGCCTTCCGTGTCCTCCTGGTGACGGTGTTCGTGCGCGCTGCCCGCGCGACTATGCCTCGGACATGTTGAGTAACGTCCTGTCTCATACTCAGCCTCGCTGTCATCTTTCTGTGCCCCCATACATATCCTCTCTTGTGGCGTCGCCCATGGGGCGCGGAATCAACAAGTTCTCAAGTGTAGCCTGTACACGGAGCAGTACGCCCCTTCAAATATGAATGTATATTGGATGGGCCCGTTGGTCTTGCCACGTGGTGTGAATGGATTGGAGACGTCCCTGGGTAATGTGGCGTTTGCTCTCCAACCGCCTGGTCCGTTTGGAACCCGCAGCGCCGCACCTCACTCGCCTCGTTCCTCCCGTTTCTTTTCCTCTCCCTGCCTCTGCTCTCCGCGTGCACATGTTGGCACACCTCTTGAACACGTCTCGTGCCTTACGAAGCTCCACCTACGGACCCACTGGAGATGGTTTCGTATGCCGCAGCCCAGCCAAGTTTGGCACGCCCCTGATACGCCTTGTGCCCAAGAACGGGTTCCATCTATAAAACCACTGGGTGCGTTCGCATATTTTTTTCGGCGCCCCGCGCCGGTCTCGTGCCAAGCGGGGGGCGCCACATACGGCCCAAACGGTTGCGTTCACATGCCACTGCCTTGCTCATTCTGGCACACTCCACGCACGATTCGTGCCCCACTTTTTGCGCCAGCGGCTAGGCCGAGTAACTGCGCTGGCGGAAACGCTAACTAAACGGGCGCACCGCTGTAGCGAATTGTGCCACAATCCAAACAGGAAAAGCGGGGCCGGCGGGCGGCCGAGAGGGGGGGGGAAGGCGAGGGCCGCTCAGGGGCACGGGTCACGCCCGGAGCGAGTGACGCGACCGGCCCCGCTGGCAGGGACAGCGGCGGCTGCTGCGCCGGGGTTCCAGCGAAGGCGGGGCGCAGCGCAGGTACCAGAACGAACCCAGCGGGTCAACAGTGAGATGCAATCAGGGACCTGGGTCACCAGGCGGTGGCCGCGCGTTCCCAGGTGCACATGGGGTCCCTGGAGAAGCGTGTCCGGCAAAATGCTGGGCCGGCGGAGGCAGCGGGCGGCAACACCCCGCCCGGGGCGGCTGCAGGCAGTCACACAGCGCCATTGCGGCGCGCGGAGGGAAGGAGAGCGAGCGGGGAGGCCGAAGCGAACAGGGAGGAGGACGCCCCGCCTGCCGAAAACCCACAGGCGGGGCGGCGGCGCTGGGCAGCAGCGGCGGCGCTGGGCTGCACCACGCGCTGCGCTGAGGGTAAGCACGGGGGGACAGCGCGCTACCCTCCAGCCAGCGGGTGGCTCGCGGGGGGCTCCCGTTGCCCGGGTGAACGGCGGCGTCGCCCAGTGGAGCCGACTGGGATTCGTGCCACGCGGGGAGCTCCACCTACGTCCCCACTTGGTGCGTTCGCATGAGGTTGCCCCGCCCCGATCGGCGCACCGTTTCAACGTTTCGTGCTCCCACAGAGAGCGACACCCACTGTCTCAGCGGGAGCGTCCGCGTGCCACCCACGCTCTCTTCGGCACATCCCCCCACACGTGTCGTGCACCAAAGGGAGCTCCACCTACGAACGCAGAGGGTGGGGGGGCCACGCCGACGGCCGAGAGGCGGCACAGAGAGCGGCAAGGACGGGCAATGGGCTGGGGCAGGGCGGAACGAGGAAGATGTGCGTTCCTCCCCCTCCGATGCCAGCCTCGGCGCAACAGCGCGTCCGCGGGGGGCCCGGGGTGGACCTGGCCACCCCAGGACCCCCCACCGCGCCCCCGATGTAGCCGAGGATCAGCATGAGCTCGGCGAGCCCATGAGACACGAGCGGCCAAGAGGGGGAGAAGGGGAAGAGCAGATGGGGAAGCCGAACGGTCGGGGGGACGTCAAGGTGGGATAGGGGCACAGGTGGCGTTAGAGGGAAGTCGCTAAAAGTCGGCCCGCTTGAGCAGAGAAGAATGAGTATTCAGCTGGGCATGATCCCTAACCTCACCTTGGGATAACCCCCCTCTATGAACTTCCGAAACAGGACGAGACTCGGATCGGTGACCTACTGACCTGGGACAGTCGGGCTTTGCAGGATCCTGCAGCATCCTGCGGGATGCTGCCAGATCCTGCAGGGTCATGCGCGCCAGCCAGAGCAAGT